TGCTGAGGCGAACGGCCCAATCCCATAAGAAGATGATACATGATACTGTCGAGGTGAACAATCCGATCCCATAAGAGTGTAGTACTGCCGAGGTGAACAGTCTGATCCCATAAGAGTATGGTACTACCGAGGCGAACAACCCAATCCCATAAGAATACGATACTGCCAAGGCGAACGACCCGATCCCATAAGATTGTGGTACTGCCAAGGCGAACGGACCGATCCCCTAAGATTATGATACTGCCAAGGCAAACGGCCCGATCCCATAAGAGTGTGGTAATGCCGAGGCGAACGGCCCGATCCCATAAGAGTATTTCATGAAATTGCCGAGGCGAACGACCCGATTCCATAAGAGTATTTCATGAAATTGCCGAGGCGAACAACCCGATCCCATTAGAATATGAAGCTTTTACGGGTTTTTGACCCCACTCACGAATATACGTGTAAGTTATGAGATTCAAGAAAACTTTTCGATGGATACGCACAACGCAAAAGAAATTAGTAAGGGAAGTACAATTTCTACGGCTGAACAAATAGCTTATCAAGTATCTGAAATAGCGAGTCCATTACTTTACGCGAGTCTAGTCTCAGGTCATAATGCAAATTAAAGCAGTTGAACAGGCAAGAATAACGCAAATAATACAATTAAAGTATGTCGTAAGTCTAAGTATAATCAGAAATTCTAGCATACGCACTGACACTCGTCACCTCATACGCGCGTAGCTCCCACAACATGTAGCACATAACAAATATAACACCTACATGATAATTTCCCCCTCACAAAGTTAGATAGAAGATTTACCTCGCTCCGAAATTCGATAACCGGCTTCAACGCCTTTTTAACACCTCAAACTGATGACAAACGATCCGAAACTAATCAAACAACGTACAAACCAATCAAAATATACTCCAATACTCGTAATTTATCAATTAGAAATAAATTCCCAACTCCTCAAGAAAAGTCAAAAAAGTTAATCCCCGGGTCCACGCATCCGGATTTAGAAAATTATCAAAAATAATTACTACCCATAACTTATATAGTTTATATTCTGAAAATCATCAAATTTAGTCCATGAATTGACCCTCAAATCAAGGATTTACCATTTCATAACTTTAGGGCTCAAAACTCCAATTTTTACAATCCAAATACGGATAAAATAATAACCAACAAAAAAATCATGAAAAACATCAAAATAAAGGTCTTATATTTAACCCCTTGTTGAGACGATAACAACTGCGCGAAAATCACCTCAAACGGAGCTCTAGAGCTCAAGATATGCTCAAAATACTAAAATGCTCGATCTGCCCATTTAAAATATTGTCCAGGCGATTTTTGTTCTTCGCCTTCGCATTCACGAAGAGCAATTTTTCGCGTTGACCGGTCAACCCAAATTTTCTTCTTCACATTCGCGGGACCTCCCTCGCGTTCGCGAAGAACAAAGTCCGCACCAGAAACCAGCAATTTTTTCCGACACGGAAATGAGCATAACTCTCTCATACGACCTCGGAATTCGACGATTCTTGTTGTTATGGTTCTGTAATTACAATATTGATCTAATGGTTCAATTCAATCACAGATCAAATGTCGTTTTATTAATATATTACCCTTTATGTCCAAAGAAACGATGTTGAAACATCAAATAAGAGCGCGATACAATCCAAATACATCCGAGGCCCCCGGAACCCCGTCCAATTACACAACCCAGTCCCAAAATATAACACAAACCTACTCGAGGCCTAAAATCACTCCAAACAACATCAAAACCATGAATCGGCGATCAAATCCTCCTTTTAACTTTGAAATATTCAAACTTCGACGAACGCGTCCGAATTATACTTAAACATTCCGGAATGACGCCAAACTTTACGTACAAGTCATAAATCAAGATACGAACCTATTTCAAGTCTCAAAACCCCAAACAGACATCGATAACACCAAAGTTCACTTCAAACCAAAACTTAGAAAATTTTAAAATTTTCAAATTGCCAACTTTTCACAATAAGCGCCGGAATGCTCCCGGGCCACCCGATACTCAACCCGAGCATACGCCCAAGTTCGAAATCATCATACGAGTCGCTTACTCAAAAGTCAAAGTTTGGTCAACTCTTCCAATTTAAAGCTTCCGAATTGAGAATTTTCCATCTGAATCAACTCCGAACTTCACGAAATTCATTTATGACCACGCGTATAAGTCATAGAACATTAAGTGAAGCTACTAAAGACATCAAACCGTCAAACGACACGCTAGAGCTCAAAACAACCGGTCGGATTGTTACAATATTCTTCTTACCACTCCATACCTACAATAACATCAAATTAATTGGGTTAGTGAATTTCGAATATCGGATGGTTAGATCTAAGAAAAACTTCAATCCTCCATAAGAACTATAACGAAAAAAGGAAAAAAACGTTTAGAATCTAAATCTGTATTCCTAATCGATCAACTCCAGCTAGAATTTAATCTATCATACTACTATTGTGTACTACAAACCCATTGCCATGATTGTTTATATTTCTCACTAGCAGTAGCAACTTGCACACTCGTCAATTTATTCAGCTAAAATACAAAATACGAGTTCGGGCTAATGACAAGCCTAACAACATCCATGCAAATGACAAAGCCTAACAATATCGACAGAAATCTTGATTAGTTGGGCCCAAAGTAGATATCGGACACAGAATGTAAAACTTAAAAAAAGTTAAGCTCGTCGAATCATTTTTAAGATATTAAAATTTTTCCAAATCATTCATAAGTGTGCCGAGAGATCAATGAAATGAGCGACAATTATAAGATACAAGAGTTCAATTTCCAATAGTGATAATAAATGTGTACTTCTACTAGTAAAAAATAATATATAGTATAAGATAGCCGAAGCGCTAGTAAATTGGCTCGCATGTTCGGCAATATAAAATTAATTTTTTTCACGATATATTTATTTTGAACTATGTCCTTCCGTAATTCTCACTGAGAACAATATAGTCCTTTTTTTGGTCATATTTATATAACAGAATCTGGACATGAATAATTTTGTATTTAAAAAAATTCAGCTCTTTGACGTGCTTCAAACGAGCATTACCTACAAAACAGCAAAACACCATTCTTCTCATTATTTTTGACATGCTAATTTGTATTATTCTAAAACTTGATATCGTTAATGGTTTAATTTTGGCCAAATGCATAGACAAGCACTTAAACTTGTTACGCTTTTTACTTAGACACCTTAATTGTCGATATTTTCAATTAGACACTCAAACTACCATCAAAGTGTGTCTATTGGACATTACACGCTGACATGTTATATGTTGTGTTATTCACCCACATTTGAGCGCGTAAGCTAATATGAATCTGTTGACCTAACTTTTCTTTTACTGTTTATTTCGTCCCTCGTCTTCGTCTTCTTAAACAAAAATATTAATGTTGTCAAACTCATTCCTCTCCCATTTCGTGCCCACTTTTTCTCCAGCAAGTTACTAGCTTCGCACCAAGCTAATGTATTTCATCCCAAAGACTACAAAGGGGAATTATGTTTTCCGTTGTCTTTTCTCATTTGCTATGTACTTTTGGCTGTTCCTCACTTGAAAGATCCAAATCCATGAATTTAAAAAGTTTATCACTGATCAATAATTTCTCCTTAAGAAAAGATAAATCAATGAACTTTTTCATTCTTTCAACATCCTCACTAGACAACGAGGACTGGAAATTTCCTGCTCTTTTGAAAGAACAAAATTAATTAATCTGAGTGTATATTAAATGCTGAATCCAAATTACATTTGAAATTCTCAACTTCGACCAATGGAACATCCAACAAAAAAAGGAGTAAAGTCATCCTATTCTCCTTCACCGAAGAACGTGGTAACTAGAGAAGGGAAATGGGCAATACACTATGAGGGGATTTACTCCGTCACTAGAACGAATGAAGGCAACGGAGAAGAAGAGCCAAGGATTAGTTGTAGGGATTAGTAAATTCAAGGTGGATTTCTTTTAATTGATATGGCTATTTTTAATTGGTTAATCTGTCACGTAAGCAACGTTTGAACTTCACACGCTGATCTTTTCTTGGGACTGAGATTTTAGTGTCCAATAGCCACACGTTGATGGTAGTTTGAGTGTCTAATAGGAAACATGCTCAGTTGAGGTGTCTAAGTGAAAAATCATGACAAATTTAGGTGACTGACTATGTATTTGATCGTTTAATTTTAGAAGAATTCATGCATATTAATTCAAAAATTCATCTTAACCCTGATATAAAATTGTAATTTAGAATGAAGATACAAATTACTTAGTAATGCCTTATAATATCCTTTATTTCAACCTCGGGAAGTCAAGAGGAGGGCTAGTAATATTCTACAGAAGCCAGAGACGATACACGTAATTTAAGTGAATTTACCTAAACTTCTTGTAGATATAGGTCGAAGTATGATTATTAAGCAGTTATATAATAATTAAACATAAAATAAGCGCAAAAGAAGAGAAATAACAAAGGTAGTCCCTTTTGATCGGGGGTAGGTTAAAGACCATTTATTAGTTTTGATTCTATCAGTTTGCTTAAAATAAGCATTTTGGTATCCGTTAAGTATTTAACAAACAATGATTATTAATTTTTTATAGAAACTATGACAAAAAAGATTAAAGAACTTATATATGTATGTGTAGTTTATGCTGTCCTTAGATATTTTTGGTGTCTGGCGCAGTTGTTTGAGATGAAGTTTCTACTATTTTTGACATTTTTTCGGTGTTTGTTTTAGTTTTTGACATTGCAATTTTTGGGATATAACAAGACGTTCATGATATTTCTGATTACAACTTTTTCTTGTATAGTTCTCCATAAATCTAACAACCACAATTTGTTAAATAAGGAAAGCAAAAGTATTCACTTTTGATAAATTTAAGAGACCAATCTGTTCAAGTGTATATTTGAAAGACTATTATAGACCTATTTCGAAACAGAAGGGACTGTTCTTGTAATTTTCGCTGTAAAAGAGGAATGGGACCAAACTTAAAACGCATGACCTCCTTCAAAAAGGGTCTTACACAAAAACGCGCTCCCCGTTTTGGAGATTTAGGGTTTGCTTTTCTGTGCGGAAATGGCAAGTGCTCTTACTCTCTCTTCTCTCATTTATCTATCTACTTGTGTGTGTGTTACATGAATTTATAAATCTGAATTACAACAGCTGAAGATGTTTATGATTCTTTGCAGGCTGATTCTCCTGGAAAAAGGTACTCTACCGTCTCTCTCTTACTCCGTTTTACCTTAGTCTTCGTTTCGTATGTTTGTTGAAGATGTTTTCTGTGCCTGCACTTCTGATTTGTAGATAGGAATACTGATCTGTTTCTCGCTGCTGAATGTGCTTTTTAGGGTTACTTCTTCACGTGAAAAGTGAAAAATGGTTCTATTAATTGTTTTCTGGGTGATGATTTTTTGTAATTTTTTTTGTTTACTGTATTTGATGCTTCTTAGCTATATTAAAGTTATTTTCTGTATGTAAAGGTATTTTCTACTTTGCCCCTAGCCCCCCTAGGGTTTTGGTCCGGTGGTAAGATCGCACACAAAGCCTGTTACTTGAATGGGGATTTCTCGAGTTTCGAAGCAGGTACCATGGTCTCTTGGGAATTTCTAGGTTATAAAAAATATATTTTCCACTTTGAATATAGATGCTTTGAATTGGATGACTTGGTTGATGGAGAATTGGCTATGGTTAATTCTTATTGAAGTATCTTATTACTCCCGAGCGAGGTAGATGCTTGTCTAGGAAGATACATGGCTTTCATTTGACACACAGATGGGAGTGTGTGGTTTGTTATTAGCCTTGCTTCCCACAGATTTGAGCCCTTCTCTATTTGCTCTTTCTGTGATAGGTAACCCGTCTTCCTTTGCCCCTACCATTTATCATCTAGATCTACTAGAAGTAATATGACAAGACAGAAGAAAGTTGGCATTCTTTCTCCCTTCAAACCAGTTCTTTCCTAATTGTTCCTATAGTACTAAATGGTAGAACAGCTCAATCTATTCCACCTATGGTACTTGATTCTTCAACTATAGGACTAGAAAACGATATTTTTGGTTCTCTTGGAATTTGATTCTTAATTTACCTGTCAAAAAGGAAGGTCATGTATGAGGGATTAGAATTGACTCTGTGGATTTTTAATTATGTAGATGACTAGTATATCTTCCCAGTGGATCGGGAGCCGGTGTTATCGGGGTTAAAAGTGTACATGGGCCTTTTAGCGCAAAGTGCAGTTAACGTGGGTCAAAGTGAATGAAGGCACACTTGAAAAAAATTTAGGGAAAAAAAAGGAATTATCGACATGAAATTTTTTGGGGTCAACTATGTGAATCCTTTGCATCCATTTTGCTTTCTTAAGGTCCTTTAGCTTTTAGAGGAGTAGTTATACTATTTTTACGTTGCTCTCAGCCTACTGCAATCCTTATCTCTTACGTAGGCTTGCAACGGTTGTGATGATGTGGAGGAATGTGTTAGAGAGATTCAAGGAAGAGGTAGATGTAGACCATACGGAATATTGAAGCAAATAGTTTTGAATTAGTTGTTAGATTTTTGTTAATTGGATATTGTTGTTGGCTGGTAGTTGTGTTGGAGCTATCTTACATGTTCATGTTTTTTGGGTGGATGTATATCCCGTTTAGTTAATGGTACTGGAAGGATGAATCCTACTTTGATTTTGCCTCTCAAAGTGAAAGAAGAGTTTGGGTTAAACCCCAAGGAACTGTTCTACGATTTGACTGAAAATAACTGGTTTCATTGATTGATGGAAGGTGTTCACTTAGATACAATTCAAGCTCTATCTTTTCGGTATTTAGTCATAAATCTTAAGCTTAACTGTATAGCTCACCCTTACTTGTTCATGGTTGAGGAATAATTGTTCTTAAACTTAATCACGGTAGTATAACATTTCTGAAAAGCATTTACTCCATTACAAAGTTGCATCTTCTGTACTTTTCTAATTTAAGCGAGTTCTCTAATTTCACGCTAGTACTGAGTATTTCTGTTGTAGCATCTATTTCAAATATTAAATTTTCCTGGTTTACATTTGCAGGTAAGACACGGTTTGTTTATATGATTGTTATTGAACTGATTTATTGTTGTAATTTCTGCACTTTCTAGGTATTCGCGCTCTCCTTCTCCTTGGGAGGAAAAGGCAAGATCTAGATCTAGGTCAAGGTCTAGATCATGGTCAAGGCCAAGAGGAAGATCCAGGTCCAGATCAAGGTCGAGAAGTCATGGGAGGTTCGTTGGAACTTGAGCTTTTCTCTGCCCAAGTCTTTCTTCTTGTAGTGCTGCTTAATATCCTATGTGTTATGTTTTCTTTGTATTAATATCTTGTTGTAAGTTGCTAAAATTTGTTCCTCCATAACTTATTCAGGGATGAACCATCTAATCCTGGTGTCACACTTTATGTGACTGGTTTATCTACAAGGGTGACACAAAGGGACCTTGAGGAGCATTTCTCAAAGGAGGCAAAGGTTGGTATTTACTTGTATGCAAGTTAGTTTCTTATTCATCCTTTTTTGCTCTACAAATTTCTATCCTAATGGATGTTAAAAAAAAGGTTTCCTCTGCACTTTCCTATTCCTACTTCATAGCTTTGAAGGTTTTTCAGTTTTCACTAACTGCAAAATAAAACTTTTTTGCGATATATTTTCTTTTGGTCTTTTTCTTCGAGAATAATTTCAATTCACTGAAAAGGCATGAATAAGCACGAAAACAAAAAGAAATTAGCTAGAGAGGATGTAGATCTGACAAATCTCAATATAAGGCTTTACTTTTCGTAAATCGACAATAATCCAATTTCAGATAGGCACATCTCGGTATCCAATCTCCCTGTGTTCTCTCTTGTCTTTTACTCTTTTTGCTTTTTCTCGATTGATATATGTCGTAAGATCTGATCAAGTCTCTGTCAGCTTATTTATTGTCGTTATCATGGAGAATACATGCATGTTGAAGTTGACTGAGAGTAAATGAACAATTACCACAACACCAACGGTATGCAATTAATTGGAAATAATATGATGTTAGAGTTGCTGTAAGAGTCGGGAGCTCCCAATATCACTCTCTCTTCTGTATCTGATTTTCTTAGCTCAGGAATAGTTCAAGAATTGTAGAAAATAATTCTTTTCTGAATTACGTTATCAACCAAAGAGAACATGAAGATGAACTTGGTCATACTAAGAACCGATCTCACAAGCTCAAGAGTCAGAAGTTGCATTCACTTTATAATCCTATTTGTGTAATTTTAATGTTTCCAAAGAAAGTTCTTTGATATTCTTGGAAATAACTGCTTATTTGTTTATTTAGTTTTTCTTAAGTTGATGATACGAGTAATGTCTTTAATATGTACACCAATGAATTGCGGTGTGGTGGCATTTTGGCTGGATTCACTTCCCTTTGTTCATCTCTCAAATATATGAACATGCTCTTAGTGTTTTCTTTTACTTTGTATCCACCAGGTGAAATCAGTTTTCCTGGTTGTGGAGCCGCGTTCCCGCATCTCTCGTGGTTTTGCTTTTATAACGATGGATAGTCTTGAGGGTGCTGAGCGTTGCATTAAGCACCTAAATCAGTCTGTTCTTGAAGGCCGCTACATAACAGTGGAGAAGGTGAGCTGCTTTGTATTGAGCTAGTGAACCATGTCCATTTAGATTGCTTTTCTGTCTTCTTAACTTGGAGGTTTTCTGGTTATATTCAGAAGACATTGCATCAGCTTTGTCAGCAGCGATCAAAGATGATCTGTTCTTCCCCTGCAACATTATATTCACTCAGCTTGACCAATGGCTCGCTTAAACAGCTTTCACATGCATCTGATCAACTAGACATAGCAACTATATTGTCCAACATCTATACAACCTCAGCAATTACTCTCAACTAATCTTCGGTCATTATCAACAATCTAATCCAGCATTGGTCTCTGTCTCCCACAAATTTTTGCTTGGATGGAACATGCCAAAATATCTAAGCTGCTTTACTGTACGACTAGCATGTTGTTTTACTTATTTATAAAGAACATAGTTATCTGTTTTGCCAACTTCCTTACCTAGCATGTAAGGGGAAGGTAAGCAACTGTTTTCTTTGCCGGATTTTAGAGAAATGTTATCTTCATGCTTACTTCAAACAAGGAGTATATTGTCTGGTCTAGATATTCCATCTTTTTCCTTGATGTAAATGTGAAAGTTTTTAGACTTCAGATTATGAAACCATGTCTATTTTTCAGTCTCGGAGGAAACGCCCGAGGACTCCAACGCCTGGTCACTATCTAGGGCTTAAGAACGCAAGGGGTGATGGTGAGTCTTTTTTCATTTTCTACTAGTTTATGTCATTTTGGGCTAAATATTGGATGTCCTGAAGGATTGTTTTTCTATGGTCAAAGGTTTTCGTGGTGACCGAGGTGACCGTGGTAGGTATCGCGGCCGTGATGACTACGGGCACCGAAAATCTCCAAGGCGTTCACCTTATCGAGGTGGACGAGATTATTCTCCTAGGCGCTCACCTTATGGGNAATGAGGGGTGATGGTATAGGAGAAAGGTCTACAAAAAGGTGGTTGCTCAAGAGATTACCCAAGGTCTCGGTATTGGGGGCCGTGGAACAAGAAACTCCAGTAAATAAAAGAAGACAATAGGGGTCCTGTCAATAGCACACTTCCGTATATGCGTTTGCAAAAGGGGAAAAACTTGATTATCATAAATTAGACAATACACATGTGCAAGTTAATTTGCTTGGTTTGGAAGAGTAGTTAGGAACGAGAGAATAAGCATTTTAGTGGATATTCCTGCTACTTGATCAATTACTCTTCATGCTTTGTCGGCAGACATAGATGTAAGTTCACCTAAAGCATATATTTTTGCTTTTCTCTTCTTTAGCATAGGAGATGTTAGAAGTGAGAATGGTGACATGAGTTGGATAAAATTTTTACAATATGCAAAATATCTTCACTCTCAATCGTAACATACAAAGTCTATAGAACATAGAAAGCTGGAATGCCCATGACGTTTTCGTCTTTGGATGAACCAAATCCTCATTAAATTTGATTGTTCCATTAGATGGGGCTCACACATAATCCAATACCATGAATACTCCTCTAGCATAACAAGTTTTAAATACTCTAAATTCTGAATTCGCCTCTCTATTGACTGGTTCCATATTGGCGTCGGCAAAAAGAAGGAATTTTAGGAGTCCTATTAAAGCGAGGTGGATCTCTCTCTCCATCACCCCACAAAGCATAAGCTTCTTCTCCATGAACAGCATCATCCCCAATCACAAGATCATCCTCATGGAGTCTTAACTCAACTATTCGACTTATAAAAATACATATCAAACTCGTAGCTACAACATTCCATATTGTGATAAATGCAGCACCAAGAATCTGATAAATCATTTGGCGAACTCCACCCTTAATGTCTCCATCAATTATGCTGTAGAGAAAGCCTGGACCATATTTGTCTGAGCCATAAAACATTCTCAGAAGCTTAGGTTTAGCAAAGATTCCAGAGAGGATTCCTCCTAGGATGCCTGCAACTGCATGTGTGTGGAAGACTCCTAATGTGTCGTCAACTTTCTGGAAAAATGCTGATTTCTTGTGTAGAACCATCATGGTGAACCAGGGTATTGAACCTGATGAGATTCCCATGAGTATTGCTGCCCAGGACTCCACTATACCTGTCAACAGTAGCGAAACCAGCAAATTCAGGAATTTTACTGGGAGGTGTCTAAATATAATAAAGTAAACACACGAAAAGCTAAGGGGATTCAACATATAGTATATATGCATAAATTCTTTTTTGACCTGGTTACACTATAATTTTCCTTGAAGTGGTGTCAATTGACCCCCTTAGACTAAGGTGGCTCCGCGACTACCTGCCAATGTGCATTGTTTTAGGACATTTTGCTCATTCTATTACTTGTGTGCTAACAGGCTCATATTTTATTTTATGATATTAGGCTGAGACGAGCTTAACTGGAGTGACAGAAATAATAAGGATTCATATAGCCGACTTCGACTTACTTTGGATTGAGGCGTATTACTTATTAGTAGTATTAGCTGTTGTGGTGCTTACATGCTCATACTTGACAAAATCTGAGCTCTTTATAGTCGCTCACTCTAGGCATTTGCTGTCAAAGTACTGGTATTCAAGTTTTTGCTAATCTATAGTTACTTTGATGTGACAAAAAATGATTTTTGATTCTACTGTTATATTGGTTAAAGTTCAGTCACCATATATGAACTTAACCCCTAGAAGTCTTCCTCATTATTCCCTATTACTTGGACATTTTGTAAATTTAGGGGTTGTTTGGTTGGAAAATAAGTTATTCCACCATTAATTATCTCGAGATTAGTTATCCCAGAGATTGTTATTCCACCCTCCCATAGGGATAAAAACAACACGACAATCCCGGGATAACTAATCCTGTGATTAGTTATATCACTATTTTATCCCAACCAAACGTGGGATGAACTCATCTTAAATTTAATCCCGAGACTAATTATCGCTTATCTCTGGTACCAAACGAGCCCTAAGCTAAAGCACTTTCATTAGTAACTACTAACCTGCACCAGGGGTAATGCAAACAAGTCCAGTGATCATTCCTTGGACAGCTCCAATGACAGAACTTTTGTTGTAAAATATCATGTCCATTGAAAGCCATACTAACAAGCTTGTGGCAGTGCAAAGATGAGTGTTGAGAATAGCTAATGATGTGATTAGATCAGAGGCTAATGGAGATCCACCATTAAAACCAGTCCAACCCATCCAAAGAAAACCTGCACCTCCAAGCATGTGAATTATGTTGTTTGGTGGGAAATGTTGTCTATCATTTGAATGCCTTGGTCCAACCTATCCCAATGAAATCCCAATAATCATCATGTTATCATCCTAGGTAAGCTCAAAATAATGTTACAAGTGTTGTTTCTATTTGTTCTATTTCTATCTTCTACCAAAATCTTTTAGATCATTTTTCTTTAATATTCGAATTATAGGTCACGGGTTCGAGTCGTGGAATCAGCTACTGATACTTGCATCAGGGTAGGCTGCTTACATTACAACCCTTTGGGGTGCGGCCCTTCCCCGGACCCTACGTGAACGCAAAATACTTTGTGTATCGGGCTGCCCTTTATTCAAATTAGAGCTTTTTAATTGAAATAATTTCCTATAATTTGAGAAATCTTTTCGGATGCCATCTTATTTATTACTCTATTTGTTTTATTTTATACGTCAACCTATTTCCCTTTTGACCCGTTCTTAATAAGATAGATGTGTTTCTATATTTAGAAAATTCATAGATATAGCCTTTCCATTTTACAACTTTAATGAAATGCTTGTATAGACATGACATGCAGAATATCACAAGATTCTAATGGTACTTTTGGTAAGTTATACAGACACAAAGCCACTATATTAATTGATGGAAGTCGGATCAATTGAACCCACCTTTTTTACTTAGATCATAGATATATATGTGAAAAATCGTAAAAAGTAATCTAAAAGATTGAGTTTTGAACCCATATTTCCAGTAAACTCAAATCCTTGAACATATTAAATTTAAATTCTACACGCGGGCACACACATACATACATATATCCAGATATTCATTTTTTTCTTAAATTTAGTATCGAGTCAAATAATGTCATATAGACTGCTTTTTAACATTATGTAGAATTGTTATTTACTTAAGTAAAATTGTAGAACTTTTTTTTTCCTTTCAATTGTAGGACTTCTAAAAAACAAAAAAAGCCAGGTGCACGAAGCATCCTGCCTTCACGCAGGGTCCGGGAAGAGCCGCACCCCCAAGACGTGCGATGTAGGCAGCCTACCCTAATATAAATATCAGTGTCTGATTCCCCGGCTCGAACCCGCGACCTATAGGTCACATGGAGACAACTTCACCGTTGCTCCAAAGCTCCCCTTCACACGGAAGAGCCGCACCCCAATGGGTGTGATATAGGCAGCCTATCCTGCTATAAGTATCAGTGGTGATTCCGCCGCTCGAACCCGTGACCTATATACTTCCAAGATTCCATTCAATTGTAAGACTTCTATTTTTTCAAATAGAAAAGGTAAAGAGAATGTCTAGTAGAATTACCCAATAAGCAGCAGTAAATCCAGCAACTCCAGATGAAAGATGAATCACATAACCACCAGAGAAGTCAATAATAGGCTCAAGAAATCCAGAACCCCAAATACTATAAGCACCAACTGTATAAGAAAATGTAATCCAAAGTGGAACAAACAACATCCATGCATAAAAATTCATTCTACCAAGTAAAGAACCAGCCAATAAAATCACAGTAATAGCAGCAAATGCAAATTGATAAAATACATAATCTGCTGTTGGAATATAATATTTAGTGTGTTTTGTTAGCAAAAAATCTTGAGTCATAGCTTGTTCTGGTTTGCCTATTATAGATATTAAATGTGTACCAAATGCCATTCTATGGGCCCATAAAACCCAACAAATTAAAACTGCTGCAAATGCATAAAGGGCCATAAAAGCTGAATTTACAGCCCATTTCTTTTTGACCATTGATCCATATAAAATTACTAGCCCAGGTACACTTTGTAAGCCCACCATTGCTGCTGCTGTTAATTCCCATGCATTATCTCCTTTACTTAACCATTGTGGTGTTGATTCATCTGGTTTTAGACCTTGTGGAAGGTATGAATAATTTGGATCCATTTAAAGAATAATCTGCCGACCCCAACTTATTCGGGACTGAGGCGCAGTTGTTGTTGGTTTAGAGAAATATAAAGAGGGAAGGTTTTGGTAATTTTTTTTGAAAGGTTAATGGGGTAAGATATTTATAACAAAAGTTTGAAAAATTTGGAGCCATTTAGAGAAAGAGAAATATGGATGATTTTGGTTTTTTTTTGAAAAAGGTTAATGGGGTATTAAGATATTTATGACAGGGTTTGAGAGAAAATCAAGGTAGACATAGGGATAATCTAGGTTTTTGGATGTAATTAAGGATTCTCTGATATTCTGTAGTGTCAGTTTTAGCTGGATATGTTTGTTGATTCATCTGAGAATCCAATAACAGGACATTAGTTGATTCAATGTTTGTTGATTTTAGCATATTCATTGCGTAAGCTAAACAAATAACTATGGTGGGATTCTTTAAAATTTGATTGGGCTTAAGTTAAAGTTTTGTTTTCACTAGACCAAGAATAATTGGCAAATCCGTTAATGGGCTCGCGTGTTCGATAGAACTCAACATTTTGGGATCAAATCCTATTTATTCAGAGGCTGATCCAGGATTTGAAGGTTACGAAAGTTACTACTTATAATGCAAACCTACCGCTAGCTATCGAGATTGAATTGAGGTGTACGTTCTAACTGGTTCAATCCATTTGATTCGGTTTGATTTACAATTTTTTTAGTTCATAATTAAATCATGTTTAATTATTAGCGAACGAGAAAAAGTTTGGTTTATTCGATCAAGCTCTCTCCATTCGATTCAAACATATTGTACGTAAGTCACAAGCAAATTGTCACTAGTTAATGATTCCAT